TATGACTCATCACTACCCTATGTACAACAGCTCTGAATTTTCCTCTCTTTTGACCCAATTTGATTGTCTCTGATACACTTACCCCTATTACTCCGGTCTCTGAGCCAATCCATCTTATCCAGGGTCTTCCTCTCTTGCTTTATTCCTCCACCTTTCCAAGCATGATGTACCTCTTCAAGGACTTGTCCCTCTTGGTAACATTCCCAAAGTATATGAGACCGAGCTTTAAAATCCTTGCCTCCAAGGAGCAGCCTAGTATCACCCTGTAATGAACAGACTTGTTTGTTCTCTTAGCAGTCCATGATATATTCAATACTCTTCTCCAGTACTACAACTCAAAGGCATTAATCTTTCTGCTATTATCTTTAATATTGTCTAGCTCTCGGATGCATAGCAAGTAATTGTAAAGACCACGGCCTGGATCAGATATACCTTAGTCTCAGGACTGTCATAATTGCTCTTCAGTACTCTGGAGATATCCCTGACAGCAGATTTTCCAAATGCAATTTATCTTTTGATTTCCTGGCTGCTGGTACCAAGAGTGTTGATTATGGAGCCAAGCAAGCTGAAGTTGATAAAAATCTTAATCTCCATCTGTCGTGGTGCTGCCACTCAGCCCAGAGGTGAAAATCTGTTTTCTTGATATTGAGCTTCAATCCATACTAAAGGCTTCAGTCATTGATCTACTGCAGCAAATGCCTCAGGTCTTCCTCAGTTTCTTGTCTCTTGGTATCACTCCTAGCTGATTCTACTACTTGTATTACATTGATAGCAATAGTCCTCAGAAATAACATAATGAGCAGGTCGGTTGAAATCCAGTGCTGTTAATAGAGAGCACATTGTGTCTATGATTACCAAACAAAGCACAGATGGGACCTAGGGCTTTGCTGGAACTCAAAGAGGTACCTAAGATATTTTCAAGCTTCAGGAAAAAAATCACAGTCTACCTTTGGATACTGTGGAACTTCTAACTCAAGGTATTGATATTTTTAACATTGTACTGCTACATTCCTCTCATGAGTGTGTTATTGTTATATGCCATCAAGTTGACTGCAACCCATAGTGACCCTGTAAACCTTTATCTGGCCCATGCTATCATTATCACCTCTGAGACAAGTGAGTCCATTGTTACAGTCATTGCCTCACTGAGGATCCTTCTTTCCTATGCTGACCCTCCATGTTTGACTATCGGCCTGAAAGGATTGGCTTCTCCTTACCACATGCCCAAAGAATGTGAGATGGTGTTTCACTTGCCTTCAAAAAGCAATTGGTTTCACTTTCTCCAGGACAGACCTGTTTATTCTCTTGGCAACCAATAGGATACTGAATACTCTCTTCCAACGGCACAACTCAAAATATCAGTTCTTCTGTCATCCTTAGTCACTGGCCAACTTTCAGATGCATATGTTATGCATGATTAAGTAGACACATTTGGATGAGACACATCATAGTCTTTAACAGATACCATTACTCTTTAGTACTCTAGAGTACTTTAGTACTGTGGAGAGGTGTCTTGATTTTCCCCAACGTGACATGTCTCTTTTTTTTTTTTAACTACTAATATAAAGGGTGTTGATGTTAATGAACACAAGGGTTTATTTCCATAGTTACATGACAAGATAGACAGATTGCAATAGACAAAGCACTTTATTGGGGATCTGGGAGAGCAAAGAATTCTCTCAACTATCTCCTTGCTAAGGATGGTTACTGGTTTTTATATTAGGTTAGATATTAATTTACTTAAGTATTATTATTGCTTGTTCAAAATTAAATTCAAAAGAATACATACAGTTTGCAGTAAGCAAAGAACTTCAGGTACAGTTTACATATGGCTGAGAAAAAAACAAAACAGTTTCAAATGCTAGTTCAGAGAAGATAGATTTCTTTTCCCAGTAAACAGACAGTTTAAGGTAATAGGCATGACTATGTTGTTGTTGTTGATTGCAGTTGAGTTGAGCATGACTTATAGTGATACTATAAACAAAAGGCCTGAAACCTTTCTATAACTATCGTTATTTATCAAAGTTCATAAAGTTTCCAGAGGCATGTTGTTTAGGAAGTGATGCCACTCCTGCTTCCAAATGCATGACTATAGAGAAGTTAAAACAGAATCTGAGGACTAAACACATGTTAGACAGTTCAACCAGTTTTGCAGGCTGAAAATCCAGAATATCGAGTTTTTAGAGCTATACCATGTGTTTGAATAATTCTAAACTTATTGATACCACTTATTAATACCATTGATTGTGGATTCAAGGAAGATGAAATTGTTCATGGTTTCAACCTTTTCTCTATCTATTACGATGCTGCCTATTGGGCCAGTGGAGAGAATTTTAATTTTCTTGATGTTGAGCTGTAATCCATATTAAAGGCTGTAGTCTTTGATCTTCTGAAGCAAGTGCTTCAAGTCTCTTCACTCAGCAAGCAAGATTGTGTCATTTGCATAATGCAGTCTGTTGATGAATCTTTCTCTAATCCTGATGCCACATTACTCATTATAAGGTCAGAATTATCAAATTATTTGTTCAGCATTCAGTGTGAATAGATATGGAAAAAGGATACACACCTTACTTGATTTAAGCCATGCAGTGTTCTTTTTAACCCTGTTCAGAAAACAACCTCTTGGTCTAGACATGTTTCATGTAGACATAATTAAGTGTTCTGGGATTCCTTTTCTTTTCAATGTTACCCTTGAAGGTGGTGAAGTCAAACATGATCTGGTTTGTTAAATTGTGGAAGGTTCAGTTGTTGTTAGTACCATCAAGTCAGAACTGAATCATAGCTTGACCCTGTATTTGGTCTCCAGAAGTAGCAGGATATTGCCTATCCTTCTCCCATAGAGGAGCTGGTGTATTACAACCATGTGTAAGGTCCAGAAAGTCTTAAGATTTTAGGACAGAAATGCTTATTATAGTGCTTTGACTTGGTCTTTAACAAATAAAATGGATAATTGTTTCTATTTTGGTGTAGGGATGCCATGACACAATTACTAAGACATTTAAGGATGCCAGTATAAATATAGGAGTCTTTCACTCTAAGCTGTTATCACATATTTGATGTGTAGTAATATTAGTACCATTTCCATAGTCTATAATACAGTTGTATAATTTTGCTCAAAATCAAGAAAACAAAGATTCTCACCACACTGGGCCAAGAGGCAGCATAATGATAGATGGTAAAGAGATTGAGACTGTTAACAGCTTCAGCTTGCTTGGCTCCACAATCAACATTCTTGGTACCAATATCCATGAAATCAAAAGATGAATTGCACTGGGAAAACCTGTTGTCAGGGACCTCTCCAGAATACTAAACAGTAATAATGTCAGTTTGGAGACTAAGGTGCACCTGATGCAGGTTATGGTCTCCTCAATTTCTTGCTGTGCATCCTAAAGCTGGACAATGACTAGTAATAATAGAAGGAGAGTTGATGCCTTTGAGCTGTGGTGCTGGTATTGAATATACCACGGACTGTTAGGAGAACAAACAGATTCGTCATTGAGAGGGTAAAATCAGGCTGTTCATTGGAGGCAAGGATTCCGAATCTTCATCTGACATACTTTGGGCATGTTGTGAGGAAGGACTAGTCCTTGGAGAGAGAAATCATGCATGGGAGGGTGGAAGGACAGCACAAGAGAGAAAGACCCTCGATGAGATGGATTGACTCAGTGAACTGGGGTAATGGGAGTAGGTGTGTCAGAGACAGTAAGGTTGGTGCAGGATAGAGCAGGGTTCAGAGCTGTTGTACATAAGGTCGCTATGAGTTGCAGGCAACTCAATGGCACATAACGACAATGACAAGGCACCACTGGTCCTTGACAAAAGGATATGTGGTTTCAGAGATTGCTTCCATGAAGACCCAGCATGCCAGCTGAAAAAAAGGGGCAATGAAGAAGATTTCATGACCTTCATGATTTTGTCCAGCAACAGACTTGCTTTTGAGTTGCTTCAGGTCTAGTGTGGTCAGCCTACATTTCTGAAGCTTTAATCACAGGACAACTGGGCTGCTTACTGCATTGTACCTCTGAAAAATTTGTTGGCATCGAATAGTCATAGTCTCAAGATTAGAATGCCTTCAAGTGTCATTCTTTTAACATTAATTTTAGCTGGCTTTTCAGAAACAGTATGTTTTCTTTACAATGAAATCCAAGCCACTAAATATATAAAAATAAACCTATTATTCATATGCCAACATGTACCGAGCATGAAACATTTTTTCTCCATATAAAGTAATACTTCTCCAAAGAAAACACTAGATAATTTTCATTATAATCATCCATACTTCTAAATATCCAAATTAGCAGCACTCTGACTGATTTATCATTCATGATGAGGAAATTCCATTTTTATTTACCTTTGTGATACACTGACCACCAGTCCTCTGTGCTGAATTTTTACATCTAAGTATCCACCATGTTAAGTTAAAAACGGAAATAATTTTTACCTATTACTTTGCTTAAATGCTATAATATTAGAATTATCATATAGTTTAATGTTAAACAACAGAACCAAAGTTGGAATTTCTTATCGAGTTACACAGACATTAATGGAAGGCATTCATAAACTGGGAATTATACACACACACACACACACACACACACACACACACTTCTGGGTTTGGATTAAAGATATATTCTAGTGTCAAAAACTTTCTTTAAGAATCTTCTCCTTCATGTCATTATTACTAGTTCATCAGTACTTTTTCTCTATCTTCTAAACAACTGAAATGATTTTCTGGGATTTCCCCCCCCCCCCGCATTAAATAGAAGCTTTATTTTTTTTATATTCATTGAATTTGAGCATGTCATTTATCCTCCTGCCCATTTTTCTTATATTAAAAGGTCTCCTGCTGGAATTTAATTTCAAGTTAAATCTTTACCCCACCCTCAGGCTGTGAGACTGAATTAAATAAATCCCACTAAAAGTAATAAAGCACTCTTAGCTGTGGTCTTGTGATATCAGTTGTCAGCCTGTCGGAGCAAATCTGAGTGTTAAATTCGCAGCCTCTGCTAGTGAGGAAAGAATCTGAACAGCAAAAAGCTCGGGATATCAGAACTGCCGCAGCCGCTCCAGTCTCCTCTCAGCAGCCGTACTTAAGCATGCAAGAAAATATCTTTGAAGATGATTTTCTTGATCACACTCGTCTAAAATTCATATTGATGGTAAAACATAAAGGCACAGCTATGGTTATTATACTTTATTTAGCAATGTTGCGAGCCTGTGGGATTTATTAACAGGAAGGTAGAAGGACTTCTTTGCGGGCAGGAGGGACAAAACAGAGATATTGTACTGATGGAGAACTGATGAATTTTAGATTTAAAGTGCTAGCGAGGACTGGTGTCCAAACACATGATTGAAAGGCAGACGATTTGAGACAGGGAAAGAAAGATAATATATGCCATCAATTTCCCCTTATGAAAATTCGTAAAGAAATCAATCCACAGAACACAGCCAATCTCAGAGCCTTCCAAATGAAACGTTCTTAAAAGGGGGAGGGGGGAGCTGATAGCACTTTGTCCTCCCAATAGGCTCCCTATACCAGGCTAGATTTATGGGTGTGACTAATAAAAGGTGACAGCTGGCTTCAAATCTGTTGGCTTGCCACCAAAATTAAAAGAGTATTATGTTTGGAACCTGCAGGATGATCTGACTTTCTGGACAAGAATTTCTGTAATGAAAAAGAGAAGATGGGAAATGAGACAGCTAATGATGCCATGCTCACTTTGGCCAAACCTCCAGGATGCAGCTGGGGACTTCTTGTTAATTCTATACACAAACTTTTTTTTTTAAAAAAAAAATTCTCATAAGCAGTTGTTTAACTATTCATTTAGCTCAGTGTGGTCCCAAGTGTTAAAAAGTAAAGATGTGGCTTTGAGGACTAAGGTGCTTGACTCAAACCACTGTATTTTCGTTCACTTTCCCATGAGAAAGCAAGAAAATAAATAAGGAAGACAGAGGAAGAACTGATGCCTGGGAATCACAATGTTGAGGAAAAAAATTGAATATATCTTGGGCCGCCAGTAGAACAAATGAACCTGTTTTGGAAGGAGGAAGGCCAGAGGGCTTCTTGAAGGGAGGGATGGTGAGATTTCATCTCTCATACTTTGGCACCTTGTCAGTAGAAAGTAGTTGTTGTGGAATGACATCATGTTTGGCAAAGCAGAAGATCAGTGAGAAGGCAGATCTTCGGTGGGATGATTGCATAGTAGCCACCAACAAAAAGCTTAAATAAATGGCCGTGAAGATACTGTAGGACTGGACAGTACTTCCCCGACACGGAGTAGGAACCAACCTGATAGCTTCTATTAACAGCAAACATGGCCCAAAAAGGCAAGACAGGACAACTTCCTTGACAATTTGAAATATATCTCCTTGGTTGCATTTATTTTGAAAGGAAAAAGTAATCTGGACTTAGCAATTTTGCATGTATCCACGAATCTTTGGGAATGTGGCTACACACCAAATTCATAGTCTGATGGACTGTTATTTTATAAACCACAAAAAATCTTTCTCTTAGAAAATGGGAGCTATATCTCTAAGTATTTTCCTCAAGGTCTAGTTAATGCCAGGCAGATATTTGATGTTTAGTGGATATTTGTCAATTGCTTCACATTTAATGTAAAGAATTCTTTCAGGTTAACTGCAAAGGAATCACCAAGTCCCAATTTTCTTTTTTCACAAATGTAGTATCTTCTGAAGACCAGGTCATCTTTGCCTTTAAGATAAATTCCTTTTTCTTCATATCAAATTGAGAATTAATTTTTTTCTGCACAGTTTTGATGGCTCTTGGTACGTACGTTAGTATTCCATATCAAATAGTCATAGGCTCTGAGAGCTAGAAGAAACTTTTTGCAGTGTCGTGTCCAGGGATTACAAACTCTAATGCCTCCAAGGGTCAGGCAGGAAACATAAATATGTGAATCCAGCTAGACTTAAGATCACAGGGGCGAGGAGAGGAGAAAGCCTGTAGCAAACTAGAGATTGCCTGACTGATCAAATCACTCGGTTCTGACCACACAATACAAGGCTGAGGTCTGGCCTACCAGCTACCTGTTTACAAACACTGAATTAGACTTTGATTTTCCTTTTAAAATGTCATATTTATGATTTTTTTTTCAGAAAATTGAAATGTTATTTTATGGCTTCAGGGTCAGAAAACGTCAATGCCACAAAACCAAATTCAATGTCACAGGTTCTAATTCATAGTGGCCCTTTATGTTTCCGGGCTTAACTGAACTCCCTTGTGTTTTCTAGGCTGTGATTTTTATGGAAACAGACAAACAGGTCTTTTTTCTGTGGTGCTAATAGGCACAGGACAGGACAGGGTTCAGGTCTGTTGTTCACAGGGTTGCTAACAGTTATATTCGACTGGATGTTGCCTAACAACAATGTGTATTTGAACTGTCACTCTTTCAGCTGGTAGCTGACGGACCTGATGCTATATACTACACAGCTGATGTATTTACACCCTATGAATTAATATCGAAGCAAATATGTACAGGGGAAAGTACCTCAAAAGGATTTTCACCTGCACGCTTTTGGTTTTTTGAAGTAAAAATATATATATTCTGCAAAATTGCTTGGTGTCTTTCCCTAGTCTTGAAGTCAGGAAAACCTTGGAAAAATCATAGGATGACCTTTTGGGAATGATGACCTTGGACAATTTGCCAAGCTTACTGTCCTTCCCTGTTTCTTTAGCAGCAAATGGGCTTATTTGCCATAAGTCTATTTTAGGACTCAGAAAGAAATATATGTAAAGTGCTAAACACAAAGCTAGATCCTATTTGGTGGTCAGAAAATCCGAGTTTTGTGCTGTCTGCACTCCGAATCTCTGCCCTTCTCCTTTCTCTCTGGATCTGGGCCTGTAACTCCTTGAAGCCAGTTGGCAATAAATTGGTCTGCTTTCTATCCTTTCACTCCAGCAGAGATCATCAACAGTGTTGTGGTTTTTGTTTGTGATTCATTGTTAGATAAATCCTTTTATATAAAAAAAAATGAATGTAAACATTTTCTTTAAGGAGCTTCCTTGGAGATTTCCACCCCCTGGTTAAGTAACAATTTGTATTCTTCCAAGCACATTATTTTCTTGGTTAATGTACTTTTCCTCTTTGTACCCTTTCTTTCAAGAAAAATAAGATGTTACAGAAGGCTTCCAAATGTTATGGGGCCTTTAAATGCTCACTGTAGGAAATCTGGGTCTCTAAAATTAGCATTGATGATTTGACAGGGCAAGGAGCTGCTTACTTATGTTTTGTCCCAGCCCTCAGAATGACTGTTGCCCAGAGCCCTGACTGGATTCTCTAGCGGAGAAACCCAACTGAGTGTTCTCTTTGAAGACACTATGGCTTTTATAATCTTTAAAGAAATGTAATGAGTTTGGCCAATGGTTCTGTGGTGTTTCAATCATTGAAAACAAAACAAAACAAAGCACAAAACACGGTAAAAATGGGCAAAGGCCTGCTAAAGTGACTGAATTCAAGGCTTTACTTGGGATGGTATTGGTTGGGCAGCAGCTCTTAGTTTAGGCTTATTGAGTGGAACTTTAAGAAGTTATATTAGTTGCCATCCAGTCTGTACAAACTCATGGTCATTCTATGTATAATTGGTCCCATATCAATCATGCTTATTGCTATGTCTGAATTCAGTGCTGCAGTGACTGTATACATTGAGTGCCTTCCAATCTAGAAGGTTCCTACCCTAGGACAATATTTGATGGCATTTTGTTGTGATTCATAGACTTTTCATAGATAACTTTTAGAAGTAGATTGCCTGGCTTTTCTTTCTAATTTGTTTTAGTGCGAAGGTCTCATGGGATCCTGTTCCCCATGGGCTGACCTTGTTGGTATTAGAAATACTGGTGACAGGACTTCCAGTATCCCACTAACATACAAGTTACCACAGTGTGACAAATGTAGACAGGTAGTGGAGGTATTCATTAGACACAGCTACATGGAGAAGCATGGAATTTTCAGTAAGCAAGAAGAAACCAAATACGTTTTCCACTCTAAACCATAGTAATCATGAAATCCTCTTATTAATATTTGTTAGATGTTTGGTTTATTCCTGGTTATTCTGTAAGCACTGGATTAGGCATTTAAAAGTTATAAAAGGTAACATCTCAGGGTAAACTTGGTGACCTTGTTTACAAGACATGAGCCAGATTTATTTGGTCAGATCATTCTTTGGAATTTCCCGCTGGTCATGCTTAGTTCAATGTCTTCTTGAGCACTTGATCGTTCTAAAGTGAAATCTATATTTGGACCAAGAGGCAGTCATCAGAACAGAGCAGGGAAACACTGCCTGGTTAAAAATTGGGAAGGGTGTTTGCCAGGGATGTGCCCTATCTCCATGCCTTTTCAACCTATATGAAGAACAGATTATCTGAGAGTCTGGGCTCTATGAGGAGAAGTGTGGCATCAGGACTGGTGAAAGACCTATTAACAATCTGCGTTATGCGGATGACACAAACCTGCTTGCTGAAACTAAGGAGCACCTGAAATGCTTGCTGCAGAGGGTCAAGGACTGCAGCCTTCAGTATGGATTGAGGCTCAATGTCAAGAAGACAAAGATTCTCACCACTGGACCAATTGGCAGCACCAGGATGGATGATGAAGAGATTGAGATTGCTAACAACTTTAGTCTGCTTGGCTCCACCACCAACACTTCTGGCACCAGCAGCCAAGAAATAAAAAAACATATTGCAATGGGAAAGTCTCCTGTTAGGGACCTCTCAAAAGTACTGAAGAGCAATGGTGTCACTCTGGAGACTAAGGTGCATCTGATACAGGCTATGGTCTTTGCAATCACTTGTTATGCATCAGAGAGTTGGACAGTGACTGTACCATGGACTGCCAAGAAAACAAACAGATTCAACCTGGAGAGGGTTAAACCAGGCTGCTCCTTGGAGGCAAGGATTCTGGGGCTTCATCTGACATACTTTGGACATGTTGTAAGGAGGGACAGGTCCTTGGAGAGGGACATCATGCTTGGGAGGGTGGAGGGACGGCGCAGGAGGGGAAGACCCTTTATGAGGTGGATTGATTAGGTGACTGGGGTAATTGGGATGGGTGTGTCAGAGGCAATGCGATTGGCACCGGATAGAGCAGGGTTTAGGGCTGTTGTACATAGGGTCGCTATGAGTCACAAGCGACTTGACAACACATAACAACAAACAACATGCTTAGTCAGAAGTTGGACTTCCCTTTCCTATGGCAACACTGTGGTTGTCAAACTGGCAGAACAGACACCACTCTCAGCTATTAATGGGGCATCTTTGATAAAAGAGGCAGTGTTCTCCCCAGGAGTAGTAAACAATGTGCCTGGTTATGGGCTCACTGCAGAAGCCATCTCTTCCCACCTGGGCATTGACAAAGTGGTAGTCACAGGATCAACATAGGTTGTTATTGTTATTATGTGCCTTAAAGTTGCCTGTGACTCATAGTGGCCCTCTGTACCATATCTCTGAAATCTGCCCTGTCCTGAGCCAGTCTCACTGACTCTGACACACCCAATTTCATTGCCCCAGTTACCATGTCAATCCATCTCATCCAGGTCTTCTTCTCCCTCCACTTTTTCAAGGATGAGGTTCTTCTCCAGGGATTGATCCCTCCTGGCCACATGTCCAAAGTATGTGACACAGCTTCAAAATCCTAGCCTCCAAGGAGAAACTCGGTTTCACCCTCTTTAAACAGATTTTTTGTTCTCCCAGCAGTTCATAGTATGTTCAATACTTATCCAGCACCACAACTCAAAGTCATAAATTCTGTCATCCTTAATCATTGTCCAACTCTCTGCTGCATAGTAAGTAATTACAAAGACCATGGTCTGGATCAGTCACATCTAGACTGACATTATTGCTCTTTAGCACATTGGAGAGGTCCTTGACAGCAGACTTTCCCAATGCAATTAATCTTTGATTCCCTGACTGCTGGTGCCAAGAGTGTTGATTGCGGATCTGAGTAAGCCAAAATGGTTAACACCCTCAATCTCTTCTCCATCTATTATGGTGCTGCCAATTGACCCAGTGGTGAGAATCTTTGTCTTCTTGATGTTAAGCTTCAGTCCATACTGAAGACTACAGTCCTTGACCTTCTACAGCAAAAGCTTCAAGTCCTCCTCAGTTTTGGCAAAACACATATCAGCATAATTCAAGTTGTTGTTGATGCATCTTCCTCCAATCCTGATCCCACACTCTTCCTAATAAAGTCCAGCCTCCTGAATGATCTGCTCTGCATGCAGATTGAAAAAGTATGGAGGTAGGATGCATCTCTGATGCAATCCCTTTCTAATTATTTTGAATAAAATTTTATTTTAATTGTGATTTTAACAAACATTTACAGAGAACTTAGACTTTCATTCATTCATTGTCGTACATTTTTATCCCCTCACTCTCCCTCCCACTACCCCCAGTTAACTTTTTAAAAAAAATTCATTCATTATTGAAAAATCACCTACCTTCCCCCAACCCCCACCCTCAGTCCTCTTTTGCAAATAGTTCTTTCTTTCATCCAAAAGCAATGATCATTAACTATTCACTCTTGTCCTATTCTCCTCCCTACCCACCGTGTCAGACTTGCTTTTTAACAGTGGTGCTATGTAAATATTTGTCCTTCTGTGATTGAGATATTTCACTCAGCATGATGTTCTCCAGGGTCCTCCATATTGTGTAATGTTTTACAAGTTCACTGTTTTTCAGTGCTGCATAGTATGAATATATCATAATTTTTCTATCCATTCATTTGTTGATGGGCACTTGGATTGCTTCCATCTCTTTGCTATTTTAAATAACACAAAGATGCACATGAGTGTGCATATATCTGTTTGGATGGTGGTTATTGTTTCTTTAGGGTATATTCCCAGTAGTGGAATTGCTGGGTCAAATGATATTTCTATTTCTAACTTTTGGAAATGCTAAACCACCTTCTATAGTGATTGCATCACTTCACACTCCCACCAGCAGGGAATAAGGGTTCCAACCTGTCTACAAGCTTGCCAGGATTTATTTGTTGCTGCTCTGTTGAACTTTACTATTGTTATGCTAGGATGAGATGATATCTCATAGTTGTTTTGATTTACATCTCTCAAATAGCTGAGGATTTTGAACATTTATTCATGTGTTTGTGTGCCATTTGAATATCTTCTTTGGTGAAGTATCTATTCATATTCTGTGTCCGTTTTGCGATTGGGTTGTTTACCTTTTTCTCATTGAAATGCTTGAGTATTCTATAAATTTTAGATATAAGTCCCAAGTAATAATGAAAAACCTACAACCATGAAAGAACAAAATAGATGAATGGACCTTCTAAGAATCAAATCCTTACGCATTTGTTAAAAAAAACACACAAAACACAACAAACACCACTAAAAAACCCAAACCACCCCAAACCAAATAAATCCAAACCTTCTCCAACATGTTGTTGTTGTTATGTGCTGTCCTGTGCCAATCGCACTGTCTCTGACACTTAGATCCGATTATCCCAGTCACTGGATCAATCCACCTCATAGAGGGCCTTCCCCTCCTGTGCTGTCCCTCCACCCTCCCAAGCATGATGTCCTTCTCCAAGGACTGGTCTCTCCTTACAACATGTCCAAAGTATGTTAGACGGAGCCTCAGAATCCTTACATCCAAGGAGCCACCCAGTTTAACCCTTTCCATGTACCTATGTTCACCAACATAGTAAGAAGGAAACCACAGACTTGGAAAAAATATTTGGTAATAACAAGTTGTTGTTGCCATTACATGATGTTGAGTTGCCTGTGACCCATAGTGACTTACAGCAGTTCTGAACCCTGCCTTGTCCTGAGCCAGTCTCACTAATACCAACACACCAATTCCCATAGCCCCAGTCTCTAGCAATACATCTCTTCTAGGGTCTTCCTCTCCTGCGCTGTCCCTCCACCCTTCCTAGTATGATGTCCTCTTCTAAGGACTCATCTCCCCTGGCCACATGCCCAAAGTATATCTTTCTTAATTTTGAACCATGCAGTTTTCCCTTACTCTATTCTGACAATTGCTACCTAGTCCAAGTATAGTTTCACCTAAGTATAATCAAGTGTTCTGGAATTCCCATTGGAAAATTAATTAAAGACTCTGCTGTGAAGAGCAATATGAAGAAAGCGACCCTGAGGCTGAGTGGAAAGAGCCCCTGCATTGTGTTTGTGGATGCTGACTTGGACAACCCAGTTGAATTTGAACACCAGGAATTATTCTTCCTCTAAGGCCAGTGTTGTGTAGCTGCATCCAGGCTTTTTGTGGAAAAATCAATTTAGAATGAGTTTGCTGGGTGGAGTGTAGAAAGGGCTAAGATGTACGTTCTTGGAAATCCTCTGACTCCAGGAGTAAGACAAGGACCTTATATAGACAAGAAACAATATGATAATATAACTGACCTCATTGAGAGTAAGAAGAAAGAAGGGGCTAAGCTTGAATGTGGAGGAGGCCCCTGGAGGAATAAAGGCTCCTTTATGCAGCACACAGTTTTCTCTAGTGTAACAGATGAGGTGGTTTTTGCCAAGAAGGAAATACCTGAACCAGTCCAGCAAATAATGAAGTTTAAATCTTTGCATGAAGTGATCAAGAGAGCAAACAAGACTTTCCATGGTGTAGCGGTGGGAGTCTTTACCAAGGCCCTTGATGAAACTGTGATTGTGTCTGCTGCTCTTCAGATTGGAACAATGTGGATGACTTGCTCTGTCTAGTGCTTCTTTGGGGGGATTCAAGATGTCTGGAAATGAATGAGATCTGAGAGAATATGGTCTTCAGAAATATGCTGAAGTCAAGACAACCATGATGAACATTTCCAAGAAGAATTCATAAAGAAAACCTCAAGAGTGGTGCACATTTTCCACAATTAATAATATATTACAGTGTTGTGCCTTGATTTTTCTAAATAAGTAAACCATATTAGCATCAGTAACCACAGATAGAAAAGTTGACATGTAGCTTACTTTGAACCATTTTATGGTTTAATAGATGATGACTGATTGTCCTTTACCTTATTTCCCTTACCGGTTCCTTGAAATATTTAATATTCATGATATTAGCTGCCAAATAGGGAGGCTTTACTCCAAGTAGTTGTGAAGTCATTGATGTCACTTGAAATGTTGATTAGATGTGGTGTCTGTCTGTCAAAGAAAGTGATTGCTGAAATACGGGTGTAAATCCCTGTATAAACTTCAATAAAAACAACCTTGCATTTAAAAAGAAAAGAACGTATTCTGGGAATCTGTCCAAATTAATTAACATAATCTTGAATCACTCTTTCTAATATCAGCATAATATTTCCTTGAGAGGGATTTGTTATAGTTTATTCCAATAGTTACCTATAGATAAAAAAAGTTATTTGCCCCTATATTTTTAGTGGCAGAAGCCCTAAGTTAATTGCTTTAACACTATAATCAAGAGTTTTCAACCTTTCTTCTAATTGTCAGATGTTCATTTATAAAGCAGGAAAAATACACAAGAAAATATGAAACAAATTTCAATGAAAATAATTTTGAAGAAGATGGCAGTTAGACGAATATTTTGTTTTCAAGAAAGCATGATGTATTTTTTAAGTTAAAATAAATAGTTCTTTATCTTTTAACTTTAACAATAATAATTTCTCTTTAAGTACTCTTCAGTAACATAAAATAGATCCTTTCCACAAGAATTTAAAGAGGTAGGCCTGAAGTTGGTTGATCTCTTCTATTACCTCTTTTGCAGAGGAAACCACAGCTATCAATGTATGTTTATCTTTTTTATACATTTTTAGGCCTTTCTTGAATACATATTTGTGTGTTAATATACAAGGACTTGAGATGCTTGCTGCAGGAAAAAAACTAAACTCTCCAATACGGGTTACATCTCAACATCAAGAAAGCAAAAGTTCTCACCCTTGGGCTGATAGGCAACATTATGATAGATGGAGAAAAGATTTCAATTGTCAACAATTTTGTCTTACTTGGATCCACTATCAACACCCTTGTTATCTCCTGACTAGAACATCAGGAGACATATTGCACTGAGAAAGTCTTCAAGAAGCATCTGGTGAATTGGAACCATCTGCCTTTGGCTTGGCAGCATAACTCTATCCACTAAGCCACCTATCTGTCTCTGTATATGTAGAGCTGCATTACAAATCTAAAGATGAAACCTTTCTGGTGGTTTGAAATCACTAAGAGCTCCATGAGAGAAAGATGAGCAATCTCTTCCAGTGTGGAAATGTCTGTCAGAAAACCTACTAGCGTTTCAATTAGTTATCAGTCAGTCTTAACTCAATGGAGGTGAATTATACACACACAAGGCTCTGTGTGTGTATGGATATCTATCTACTTATCTCTATCTATCTATCTATCTATCTATCTATCTATCTATCTATCTATCTATCTATTTACCTATCTATCTATCTCTATCTATACACAGTCATAGACACATTTAACAATCCATGCCAAGAAATTTGAAAGACAGCTACGTGGAAAAATGAATGAAAATGATATATGTTTGTTTACATTTTTAAAATAGGTGATCCAATAGAAAGTAGAAACTACTAAAAACTATCATTACTATTGCATGAATGTAAAACCTTGCTGAAGATTATTTAAAAACAAATAGCACATATGTTGACTGAGAATGACCAGAATATCAAGCTGGACTTAGAAGAGTCAGTGGCATGAAGAAGATAATTGCTATTGTCACATGGACCTTGACTGAATGCAAAAAATAAAATAAGAATGTATATTTTTTTTATTGACTTTGCAAAGGCGTTTGACTTATATCAAATTATGGCTAACGTTGAAAAGAATGGGAATTTTAGAGCACTTAATTGTGCTCATGTGAAACCTACACCTAGACCAAGAAGCTGTTGTTCAAACAGAGCAAGGGAATACTAAAAGGTTTAAAATCAAGGAAAATGTGTGTTAGGATTGTATCCTTTCTCCATACACATTAAATCTCCATACAAATGATTCTAGAAGCTAGCCTTTATGAAGAAGAATGTGTCATTAGGATTAGAAAAAGACTCATTACCAATCTGCATTTTGTAGATTGCATAACTTGCTCTCTAAAAATGAAAATATGGAAACACTTGCTGCAGAAGATCAAGTACTACATCCTTCACATGGATTACACTTCAAAATCAAGATGACAAAGATTCTCCTCATTGACCCAATAGGTAAAATTATGATAGAAAAAAGATTCAATTTGTTAACAATTTCATGTAACTTGGATTCACAACCAACACCATTGTATTAGCAGTCAAGAAATAAAAAAACTATATACATATTGTATGGGAAAAATCTACTGTCAAAGACTTCTCCAAAGTGTTACAGAGCAGTGGTGTCAGTTCAAAGACAAAGGTGGGCTTGAGAAAGGCCATGGTCGTGTGTGTGTGTGTGTGTGTGTGTGTGTACTGTTGAATCGGATCTAACTGGGACAGGAGTAGATTGCTCCTCCTGCAGCACAGCATCTGGTTGATTCAAACTGCACACTTTCTGGATTGCAGTGCAGCTTCTTGCCACTAGGCTATGAGACCTCCCTAGCCATGGTATTTTTAATACTTTTTATGCATATTTAGGTTGGACAATGATAAAAAAAGATTTGATGCTTTTGAGTTGTGGTGTTGAGAAGAGTACTGAATATCCAATGTTGATATTAGGTGCCATCAAACACAACTCATAAAGACACTACGCACAACAGAGCTGAACCCTGTCCTATCTTACATCATCCTTACTATCCTCAACACATTTGAGCCCATTACCACAGTCAGTATACCAATCTGTTTCACTGAGGTCCTTCTCTTTTGCTGTCCCTCCACTTTTTCAAGCATGATGTTTCTTTCCAAGGAATAGCCTATCATAACAACATGCTCAAAGTAGTTGAGATAAAGTTTCACCATCCTTACCTCTAAGAAGCACTCTGGTTACACTTTATCCAAGATATACCTGTTTGTTCTTTTGCCACTCCATAGGATATGAGGTCTCTTTCCAAGGAATAGCTTCTCCCAGCAATATGGCCAATGTATGTGAGATGAAACTTGGTCATCTTTGCCTCCAAGGACTGTAATTTCTCCAAGACATATCTATTTGTGTTTTTTTTTGTAGCCCATAAGATTATTCAGTAGTCTTCTCCATCTCTACAACTCAAAGACATTAATTCTCCTCCTGCTATCCTTATTTATTGTCCAGCTAGCTGATATATAGCAAATGATTGAAAAGCCCACGGTCTGAATCAGGTGCACTATAGTCTACAAACAGATATCATTGCTCCCCAGCAATTTGGAGAGAGCATCTGATTGCAGACTTTTCTAATGCAGTGTATTTCCTGATCTCTTGACTGCTGGTACCAAGGGTGTTGAATGTGGATCAATGTAAGATGAAATTGTTGACAATTTAAATATTTTCTCCATTTATCATGATGTTGCTTATCAGCCTAGTGGTGAAAATTTTTTATTTTCTTGATGTTGAAATATAATCCATATGAAGTCCTTGAACTTCTGAAGCACATATTTCAATCCTGTTCACTTTCAGTAAGCAAGGTTGTATAATCTTAAAAATGCAGGTTGTTGATGAGTCTTTCTCCAATCAGAATGCTACATTCTTTATAATAAAGTCCAACTTATGGAATGATTTGCTCAGAATATAGATTGGATATGTAGAGAGAAAGGATACAACCCTGACACACACCTTTTTAATTTTAAAACATTCAGTGTTTTCTTACTCTGTTTGCATAATAGCTTCTTGGTCTAGGTCTAGACTTCTCATGAGCATAATCATGTGTTCTAGAATTCCCATTGTATTCAGTGTTAACCATAATTGGTTAAGATCCACACAATCAAATGCATAGTCAGTAAAGCACAAACAGAAATTTTTCTGGTACTCTGCTTTCAACCAAGGTCAATCTGACATTACCAATGTTGTCATGGCCTCTTCTAAATCTTGCTTTAACATCTAACAGTTCTTCATTAAATTACTATTTTAGCTGGTTTTGGGTCATTTTCAGCAAAATTTTGCTCTCACTATGATATTTTTCTTCTTTTTAAACAATTAGATCTTCAAGAAAGTGCAACTAGAGTGTTCCTTAGAGACAATTACGTTGAAATTACTTACATACTTTGGACATATCATTAAAATGAAGCAGTCCTTGGAAAAGAACATCATGTTGGGAAATTCGGAGTGTCATCTAAGGTGAGGAACACCTTGGACAAGGTAGACTGACACAATAACCGTATCAATGGGAAGATTTGAAATTATAAGGATGGCATAGGATTGGACAAGGTTCATTTATATTTTTATAGGTTCACTATGAGTTGTAGTTGAGGCGGTAGCA